TCCCGTCTAAATGGATCGCTATACCCTAATTTTTTCCCAATAAAATATGCTTTATATGAGAAATAGAAGTAGTGAAAACCAAATTTCATAATTAAAACAAATATTTTAGCTGGCGTGTAATGTATTTCAGGTTTAAAATATTCGCGGGTTAGTACAACATAAGACTAGGACGTGACGAGTTCCGATAAGTTCATTGTTATTAGTAAATACCACCGAGTGTTTTCGTATCTGTGTTATGTTACGACCTCTTCGTATTTATAGTATGTAGATGATTTACTTTAGGTGTAATAGTTGATACCAGAGACGTTATATCTTAGTTTTATTAGCCTTGGAATTTCTAGTCTTGATCCTAAACGGATTTGTTAAATATTTTAGTTGGCATGTGATATATTTTATGTTCAAAATATTCATGGGTTTGTACAAAATAAGACAAGGACGTGACGAGTTCCGATAAGTTCATTGTTATTAGTAAACAACATCGAGTGTTGTCGTATCTGTGTCACGACTTCTCCAGAGACTTCATATCTTAGTTTTATTAGTCTTGGGACTTCTAGTGTTGATGTTAAACGTATTTGTTAAATAAATTCGTCTTTTTCTTGACACAAACTGGGTCCTCACTGAGTTTTCTTACCCTCGCATAAACAGTTATACTGCCTTATTTCAAGATCATCCGTAGTTTCGGTTGACTCATTATCGCATGCATGTGATCGGTTTATGCACATGTCATGTGGGTTTCCTTCTAATACTGGAGTCCTAATATTGCATTCCAGATTTCGAACCAACTGTTGTACCATACCATTTCTTGGAAGGCTTTCATCAGAGTGACTGTGCAACAAACTTTTTATTTTATTTCGCGTCTCCTTGAAATCAAATTCTCGAGGAAAAGTGATTTCACCTGAATGAAAAAGTTTTATATATTACTTTGATTTGAATTATTAAGATGATATGCTTTATAAACATTTATATTCTTTTATTGGAAACTTACTGTTGTTAATGGAACTGAAATGGGCACGCATGTGTGTAACCTTGCCAGGTTTTAATGCTAACAGATCAGGTTTAACTGAATGGACCACTGGATTTGAATTTGCCGCCATTTTTTCCAAATTGACAAACTTTTGTCTTGTTTTTATAACGTGGCCATTAGTTGAGGGGCAATCAAAGGACTGTTTTCCGCCAATATTTCTGCCTACAAAAAACGGTAGATTTTGATTCTCTGCAGATTCATTAATTTCGTTATCGTCATAGGTGACGTGAAGACTCATTTCCGTACGTTTGTTTTGAATATTAAAATTTTAAAAATGACTGTAGATTTTGGGGACTTCCGTTTTTAATTTTTGTGCGAAATCCCAAATTTTTCAATAACATAAGATTTTTAGTACATTACATAGACCAGCTGAATTTTGAAGTTGTGTAGAGTCGAAAAAATATATTATGATTTCAGTAAAAACTTAATTCACAAGTAAACAAAAATGTTTCTGACATTTAACTGAAAGCTGAATACTGAGTTATATTTTTTGACAGCAAAAATTTGTTAAATCTTTTTTTATAAAAAATAAAATTTTACTACATTACCGTATTTCTCGTACTTCGATTTCTGTTTTATTATGTGGCCGTAATTCAATGGAGGCTTCGATTTAAACTCCCATAAAACTCCCATAATCCAAAGTGAAGTAATGGAAATTAGTTAGTCACATATAGAGTTTGGTGCAGTTCGACCCATCATTTGTTTCGTATTTTATACATCAGCTACTATACATTTTATACAGCTAATATTCTTACGAATTAAACTTACCGGAAAGAGAAATCAAAAACAATTTCTGCACAGCCAATGCAAAATCTCTGCGTATGTGTAGAATGGCCTAGTGTGTGTAGAAATAAAATCGCTTGAGTTGAGAAGTCCTCTTGTATTTAATGTTCTTGATATAACAAAGCTAAATACACGATATGAGTCCTTGATAAATATACGCGAGATGTCACTTGTTCGATTTTTGTTCGCTTTGCTGCGAAATATATTTACTAGACCAAGTGAAAGACCTGCTGTTGATCAGCAGGCCGATTCCACTAATGACTATTGCTAAAACTCCATTCTCTTCGATAAAATTCTTAAATAAGCGATTTTTATTTTAAGAGAATTGTCCATCGTGTGATTCTGCCAACACAATATCTTCGCTAAATTTATCCGGCGATGTGTATAATGCTGAAATTTATTGAAATGTCAAAATAAAATCAAAAATGTAAACAAATATCAGCTGTTGGAATCATAATTTAAATTTGACATTTAGGAGCAGATACTGCGTCAAAAAAGTGTTCAGCTATTTGAAATTTAAATTAAAATAAAATTAATATAACATTGGTGCGTAGATTAATTAAATAATGGACTATTTGATAAGAAAGCGATTTTTTTTCTGCTCATATGAGAGATTCACGAAATATTTGCACATATTTAATAAGGGAAAAGTTATTAAATCGTACTTAATATATTTGATTCAACATATAGTTCTTACAGAAATATATTATTATTTTTAAATATAGATTTGGTTTAGTTTACATTCAGAATGTCGTGTAATTGCCAATCATTTCTTAACTTGATGCCGGTATGATGATCAGTACTCGATGAAGGTATAACTATTCAATCTTTATATTTTCGAGTATTCAGATAGAAGTTGTTCCCAAAATTGCTCTCACAGAGAACCGAAAAAGTTTCGTTACTAAAATTTACCAATATATGGTATTATATTGAAATATATTGAAAGCATTCCCGTCTAAATGGATCGCTATACCCTAATTTTTTCCCAATAAAATATGCTTTATATGAGAAATAGAAGTAGTGAAAACCAAATTTCATAATTAAAACAAATATTTTAGCTGGCGTGTAATGTATTTCAGGTTTAAAATATTCGCGGGTTAGTACAAAATAAGACTAGGACGTGACGAGTTCCGATAAGTTCATTGTTATTAGTAAATACCACCGAGTGTTTTCGTATCTGTGTTATGTTACGACCTCTTCGTATTTATAGTATGTAGATGATTTACTTTAGGTGTAATAGTTGATACCAGAGACGTTATATCTTAGTTTTATTAGCCTTGGAATTTCTAGTCTTGATCCTAAACGGATTTGTTAAATATTTTAGTTGGCATGTGATATATTTTATGTTCAAAATATTCACGGGTTTGTACAAAATAAGACAAGGACGTGACGAGTTCCGATAAGTTCATTGTTATTAGTAAACAACATCGAGTGTTGTCGTATCTGTGTCACGACTTCTCCAGAGACTTCATATCTTAGTTTTATTAGTCTTGGGACTTCTAGTGTTGATGTTAAACGTATTTGTTAAATAAATTCGTCTTTTTCTTGACACAAACTGGGTCCTCACTGAGTTTTCTTACCCTCGCATAAACAGTTATACTGCCTTATTTCAAGATCATCCGTAGTTTCGGTTGACTCATTATCGCATGCATGTGATCGGTTTATGCACATGTCATGTGGGTTTCCTTCTAATACTGGAGTCCTAATATTGCATTCCAGATTTCGAACCAACTGTTGTACCATACCATTTCTTGGAAGGCTTTCATCAGAGTGACTGTGCAACAAACTTTTTATTTTATTTCGCGTCTCCTTGAAATCAAATTCTCGAGGAAAAGTGATTTCACCTGAATGAAAAAGTTTTATATATTACTTTGATTTGAATTATTAAGATGATATGCTTTATAAACATTTATATTCTTTTATTGGAAACTTACTGTTGTTAATGGAACTGAAATGGGCACGCATGTGTGTAACCTTGCCAGGTTTTAATGCTAACAGATCAGGTTTAACTGAATGGACCACTGGATTTGAATTTGCCGCCATTTTTTCCAAATTGACAAACTTTTGTCTTGTTTTTATAACGTGGCCATTAGTTGAGGGGCAATCAAAGGACTGTTTTCCGCCAATATTTCTGCCTACAAAAAACGGTAGATTTTGATTCTCTGCAGATTCATTAATTTCGTTATCGTCATAGGTGACGTGAAGACTCATTTCCGTACGTTTGTTTTGAATATTAAAATTTTAAAAATGACTGTAGATTTTGGGGACTTCCGTTTTTAATTTTTGTGCGAAATCCCAAATTTTTCAATAACATAAGATTTTTAGTACATTACATAGACCAGCTGAATTTTGAAGTTGTGTAGAGTCGAAAAAATATATTATGATTTCAGTAAAAACTTAATTCACAAGTAAACAAAAATGTTTCTGACATTTAACTGAAAGCTGAATACTGAGTTATATTTTTTGACAGCAAAAATTTGTTAAATCTTTTTTTATAAAAAATAAAATTTTACTACATTACCGTATTTCTCGTACTTCGATTTCTGTTTTATTATGTGGCCGTAATTCAATGGAGGCTTCGATTTAAACTCCCATAAAACTCCCATAATCCAAAGTGAAGTAATGGAAATTAGTTAGTCACATATAGAGTTTGGTGCAGTTCGACCCATCATTTGTTTCGTATTTTATACATCAGCTACTATACATTTTATACAGCTAATATTCTTACGAATTAAACTTACCGGAAAGAGAAATCAAAAACAATTTCTGCACAGCCAATGCAAAATCTCTGCGTATGTGTAGAATGGCCTAGTGTGTGTAGAAATAAAATCGCTTGAGTTGAGAAGTCCTCTTGTATTTAATGTTCTTGATATAACAAAGCTAAATACACGATGTGAGTCCTTGATAAATATACGCGAGATGTCACTTGTTCGATTTTTGTTCGCTTTGCTGCGAAATATATTTACTAGACCAAGTGAAAGACCTGCTGTTGATCAGCAGGCCGATTCCACTAATGACTATTGCTAAAACTCCATTCTCTTCGATAAAATTCTTAAATAAGCGATTTTTATTTTAAGAGAATTGTCCATCGTGTGATTCTGCCAACACAATATCTTCGCTAAATTTATCCGGCGATGTGTATAATGCTGAAATTTATTGAAATGTCAAAATAAAATCAAAAATGTAAACAAATATCAGCTGTTGGAATCATAATTTAAATTTGACATTTAGGAGCAGATACTGCGTCAAAAAAGTGTTCAGCTATTTGAAATTTAAATTAAAATAAAATTAATATAACATTGGTGCGTAGATTAATTAAATAATGGACTATTTGATAAGAAAGCGATTTTTTTTCTGCTCATATGAGAGATTCACGAAATATTTGCACATATTTAATAAGGGAAAAGTTATTAAATCGTACTTAATATATTTGATTCAACATATAGTTCTTACAGAAATATATTATTATTTTTAAATATAGATTTGGTTTAGTTTACATTCAGAATGTCGTGTAATTGCCAATCATTTCTTAACTTGATGCCGGTATGATGATCAGTACTCGATGAAGGTATAACTATTCAATCTTTATATTTTCGAGTATTCAGATAGAAGTTGTTCCCAAAATTGCTCTCACAGAGAACCGAAAAAGTTTCGTTACTAAAATTTACCAATATATGGTATTATATTGAAATATATTGAAAGCATTCCCGTCTAAATGGATCGCTATACCCTAATTTTTTCCCAATAAAATATGCTTTATATGAGAAATAGAAGTAGTGAAAACCAAATTTCATAATTAAAACAAATATTTTAGCTGGCGTGTAATGTATTTCAGGTTTAAAATATTCGCGGGTTAGTACAAAATAAGACTAGGACGTGACGAGTTCCGATAAGTTCATTGTTATTAGTAAATACCACCGAGTGTTTTCGTATCTGTGTTATGTTACGACCTCTTCGTATTTATAGTATGTAGATGATTTACTTTAGGTGTAATAGTTGATACCAGAGACGTTATATCTTAGTTTTATTAGCCTTGGAATTTCTAGTCTTGATCCTAAACGGATTTGTTAAATATTTTAGTTGGCATGTGATATATTTTATGTTCAAAATATTCACGGGTTTGTACAAAATAAGACAAGGACGTGACGAGTTCCGATAAGTTCATTGTTATTAGTAAACAACATCGAGTGTTGTCGTATCTGTGTCACGACTTCTCCAGAGACTTCATATCTTAGTTTTATTAGTCTTGGGACTTCTAGTGTTGATGTTAAACGTATTTGTTAAATAAATTCGTCTTTTTCTTGACACAAACTGGGTCCTCACTGAGTTTTCTTACCCTCGCATAAACAGTTATACTGCCTTATTTCAAGATCATCCGTAGTTTCGGTTGACTCATTATCGCATGCATGTGATCGGTTTATGCACATGTCATGTGGGTTTCCTTCTAATACTGGAGTCCTAATATTGCATTCCAGATTTCGAACCAACTGTTGTACCATACCATTTCTTGGAAGGCTTTCATCAGAGTGACTGTGCAACAAACTTTTTATTTTATTTCGCGTCTCCTTGAAATCAAATTCTCGAGGAAAAGTGATTTCACCTGAATGAAAAAGTTTTATATATTACTTTGATTTGAATTATTAAGATGATATGCTTTATAAACATTTATATTCTTTTATTGGAAACTTACTGTTGTTAATGGAACTGAAATGGGCACGCATGTGTGTAACCTTGCCAGGTTTTAATGCTAACAGATCAGGTTTAACTGAATGGACCACTGGATTTGAATTTGCCGCCATTTTTTCCAAATTGACAAACTTTTGTCTTGTTTTTATAACGTGGCCATTAGTTGAGGGGCAATCAAAGGACTGTTTTCCGCCAATATTTCTGCCTACAAAAAACGGTAGATTTTGATTCTCTGCAGATTCATTAATTTCGTTATCGTCATAGGTGACGTGAAGACTCATTTCCGTACGTTTGTTTTGAATATTAAAATTTTAAAAATGACTGTAGATTTTGGGGACTTCCGTTTTTAATTTTTGTGCGAAATCCCAAATTTTTCAATAACATAAGATTTTTAGTACATTACATAGACCAGCTGAATTTTGAAGTTGTGTAGAGTCGAAAAAATATATTATGATTTCAGTAAAAACTTAATTCACAAGTAAACAAAAATGTTTCTGACATTTAACTGAAAGCTGAATACTGAGTTATATTTTTTGACAGCAAAAATTTGTTAAATCTTTTTTTATAAAAAATAAAATTTTACTACATTACCGTATTTCTCGTACTTCGATTTCTGTTTTATTATGTGGCCGTAATTCAATGGAGGCTTCGATTTAAACTCCCATAAAACTCCCATAATCCAAAGTGAAGTAATGGAAATTAGTTAGTCACATATAGAGTTTGGTGCAGTTCGACCCATCATTTGTTTCGTATTTTATACATCAGCTACTATACATTTTATACAGCTAATATTCTTACGAATTAAACTTACCGGAAAGAGAAATCAAAAACAATTTCTGCACAGCCAATGCAAAATCTCTGCGTATGTGTAGAATGGCCTAGTGTGTGTAGAAATAAAATCGCTTGAGTTGAGAAGTCCTCTTGTATTTAATGTTCTTGATATAACAAAGCTAAATACACGATGTGAGTCCTTGATAAATATACGCGAGATGTCACTTGTTCGATTTTTGTTCGCTTTGCTGCGAAATATATTTACTAGACCAAGTGAAAGACCTGCTGTTGATCAGCAGGCCGATTCCACTAATGACTATTGCTAAAACTCCATTCTCTTCGATAAAATTCTTAAATAAGCGATTTTTATTTTAAGAGAATTGTCCATCGTGTGATTCTGCCAACACAATATCTTCGCTAAATTTATCCGGCGATGTGTATAATGCTGAAATTTATTGAAATGTCAAAATAAAATCAAAAATGTAAACAAATATCAGCTGTTGGAATCATAATTTAAATTTGACATTTAGGAGCAGATACTGCGTCAAAAAAGTGTTCAGCTATTTGAAATTTAAATTAAAATAAAATTAATATAACATTGGTGCGTAGATTAATTAAATAATGGACTATTTGATAAGAAAGCGATTTTTTTTCTGCTCATATGAGAGATTCACGAAATATTTGCACATATTTAATAAGGGAAAAGTTATTAAATCGTACTTAATATATTTGATTCAACATATAGTTCTTACAGAAATATATTATTATTTTTAAATATAGATTTGGTTTAGTTTACATTCAGAATGTCGTGTAATTGCCAATCATTTCTTAACTTGATGCCGGTATGATGATCAGTACTCGATGAAGGTATAACTATTCAATCTTTATATTTTCGAGTATTCAGATAGAAGTTGTTCCCAAAATTGCTCTCACAGAGAACCGAAAAAGTTTCGTTACTAAAATTTACCAATATATGGTATTATATTGAAATATATTGAAAGCATTCCCGTCTAAATGGATCGCTATACCCTAATTTTTTCCCAATAAAATATGCTTTATATGAGAAATAGAAGTAGTGAAAACCAAATTTCATAATTAAAACAAATATTTTAGCTGGCGTGTAATGTATTTCAGGTTTAAAATATTCGCGGGTTAGTACAAAATAAGACTAGGACGTGACGAGTTCCGATAAGTTCATTGTTATTAATAAATACCACCGAGTGTTTTCGTATCTGTGTTATGTTACGACCTCTTCGTATTTATAGTATGTAGATGATTTACTTTAGGTGTAATAGTTGATACCAGAGACGTTATATCTTAGTTTTATTAGCCTTGGAATTTCTAGTCTTGATCCTAAACGGATTTGTTAAATATTTTAGTTGGCATGTGATATATTTTATGTTCAAAATATTCACGGGTTTGTACAAAATAAGACAAGGACGTGACGAGTTCCGATAAGTTCATTGTTATTAGTAAACAACATCGAGTGTTGTCGTATCTGTGTCACGACTTCTCCAGAGACTTCATATCTTAGTTTTATTAGTCTTGGGACTTCTAGTGTTGATGTTAAACGTATTTGTTAAATAAATTCGTCTTTTTCTTGACACAAACTGGGTCCTCACTGAGTTTTCTTACCCTCGCATAAACAGTTATACTGCCTTATTTCAAGATCATCCGTAGTTTCGGTTGACTCATTATCGCATGCATGTGATCGGTTTATGCACATGTCATGTGGGTTTCCTTCTAATACTGGAGTCCTAATATTGCATTCCAGATTTCGAACCAACTGTTGTACCATACCATTTCTTGGAAGGCTTTCATCAGAGTGACTGTGCAACAAACTTTTTATTTTATTTCGCGTCTCCTTGAAATCAAATTCTCGAGGAAAAGTGATTTCACCTGAATGAAAAAGTTTTATATATTACTTTGATTTGAATTATTAAGATGATATGCTTTATAAACATTTATATTCTTTTATTGGAAACTTACTGTTGTTAATGGAACTGAAATGGGCACGCATGTGTGTAACCTTGCCAGGTTTTAATGCTAACAGATCAGGTTTAACTGAATGGACCACTGGATTTGAATTTGCCGCCATTTTTTCCAAATTGACAAACTTTTGTCTTGTTTTTATAACGTGGCCATTAGTTGAGGGGCAATCAAAGGACTGTTTTCCGCCAATATTTCTGCCTACAAAAAACGGTAGATTTTGATTCTCTGCAGATTCATTAATTTCGTTATCGTCATAGGTGACGTGAAGACTCATTTCCGTACGTTTGTTTTGAATATTAAAATTTTAAAAATGACTGTAGATTTTGGGGACTTCCGTTTTTAATTTTTGTGCGAAATCCCAAATTTTTCAATAACATAAGATTTTTAGTACATTACATAGACCAGCTGAATTTTGAAGTTGTGTAGAGTCGAAAAAATATATTATGATTTCAGTAAAAACTTAATTCACAAGTAAACAAAAATGTTTCTGACATTTAACTGAAAGCTGAATACTGAGTTATATTTTGGTGGCAAGAATTTTTTGAGCTGAAGTTGTGTTTCAATTTTTTCTGTGCTGGAAAAAATTTTATTAAAAATTAAATTTAAATTTTTTTGACAGAAGTTTCAAATTTCCTATTAAAGATATTAAATACTTTTGACAATTAAGTTTACGAGCTTCCTAAGAACTCAAGAACAACTCAAGATTTTAAGGGCCCTCCCAAGTGGGAGGTACAATTGGATATTTACTTTATTGGAACAACAGTTAGAGAAGAACTAGTGACACCATGTCTGAAAAGGTTAATGAAGTAGATATATCAGAGCCCCCTGATATCCCTCTACAGGCTAATAGTGAAATCACAACTGAAATGGTCAACATCAGTGTGAAGGAACTCTTTGAACTTAAAAAATTCAATGAAATTCTACAAGCCAACTATATCAAACTTAGGCAGCAATTTCAAATGCTCCAGGACCGGTATTCTGATTTGGAAAAACAATTGAAGCTAAAAAACCCAGTAGCTACTGGTAATCAATTAAATAATAAAAGGAAGAAAGTTTCACCGCCTTCTCCAGTTAGCTCCCCCCATGACTCCGCTGGCTCTAATGAGGAAGAAATGGAGATAGAAATTTCTGTTGCGGAGCCTGACCCTTTTAAGATTGAAGATACTGAAATTGATTTCCCGAAATATAATCCAAAAGTCAAATCGACCAAACAGGTGAAATCAGTTGTAAAGAAAAGACTTTCTAAAACAGCACCAAATTCAACAGCAGTCAAGTCAATTTCAACAGGATGAGCGGATCTCTACGCCTGAAAACATCCATACTAATGGTATTGTTTCTGACAATATAACGAATCGAAATCTTTTACAACCTGTAACCTCAAATAAGAAAGTAGGCAAAGTTGTACCTATTGTACTCCGTCGAACCAACACGTGGAACTCTTTAGTCAAGCAATTTTTAACAAGAAACATTAATTTTAGCGAGGCAAAGAAAGTCCGTTTGGGCATACAAATAACTCCTGCCACCATAGATGACCATCGCAAGATAACAAGATATCTAAATGAGATTAGTGAGCCATTTCACACCCACTTTTTTCCTGACGAAAAACACCTCAATATAATAATTAGAGGTTTAGAGGGTCAGAGTATAGATGATATTAAAGAAGATCTTGCAGGCCAAGGATTTAGTATCTTTGAATGCCATTTTTTGAAAACTAGACAAGCTGCCAGCAATTTAGTTAAAATCAGACTGCCATCTGACCAGAAGAACATATATAATGTTTCCAGTATTTGTCATTTAAAGGTGATTATTGAAGCCCAGCGCCCTCTAAAAGGTCCCCCACAATGTCATAACTGCCAGCAGTTCGGGCATGTCGCTACTAACTGTAGAGCCACACCAAAGTGTGTTAAGTGTGAGGGCTCTCACCATCACCAACAATGTACAAAACCACGCGATGTTGCCCCGATTTGTTCGAACTGTGGTGGTGGCCACCCAGCCAACTATAGAGGATGCCCTTGCGCTCCGCAAATGCTGAAGAAAAAGAATGTCTCCACACCAATTTCTACGGTGAGTTCTAAAGTGCAGCCTTCAATTTCTTATGTCGATGCTTTGAAGAAGGGAAGTACAGCTGAGCAAGTTTCGTCCAATTCCCACTTGCTAACCTCCCACATGGAGAAGCTTTTAAATAATATGCAGATACAACTTAGTACAATGATGAAAACTATGATGGAATCCTTGTTACAAAGTTTAGTGCCAACCCTAGCTTCTTAATGAGTTTGTCATCATATCGACTTAAAATTGTGACGTGGAATGCCAATTCCATTATTAACAAGAAACATGAGGTCATCCAATTCCTGCATGATTTTGAAATTGACATTATGTTGATCCAAGAAACATTTCTGAAACCTGCTATCCATTTTAAAATTCCCAATTATGTTGTTTACAGATCAGACAGAAACTCAAGAAGAGGTGGTGGCACAGCCATCGTGATTAAATATGGCATTAAACATCATGCTACAATTTGCAACCAACAATCGCTCGAAACAACATCTGTACTGGTTGAAAGCCAACTTGGTAATATAAATTTTGTGTCAGCATACAGGCCACCGAGTTTGCAAATTCTCCCTAATGAACTTGAGGTTATCCTCAACAACGAGACACCTACTTTCTTAGCGGGCGATTTAAATGCATATCATAGCAGCTGGGGTGACAGAACTTCAAACAGAGCTGGCAGGTATATTGATGGGCTCGCCACTGAACACTTATGGCAGATTCATGCGCCAGGTGAACCGACACATTATGGCAGAATCACAGGCCACGTCATTGACTTCGGAATTTCAAATAACTTAGAATCGAATGTGCACGTAGAGGTCCTTGATGAACTGGACTCGGATCACAAACCAGTTCTTTTTATTCTTGAAAATTGTCCAGCAATCAACATGAATCTCACGTACATAACCACTAACTGGGACTCATTTAAGAATCAGGTTGATATTTCAAATATAAATAATTGGCCAGTAACTTCTGAGGATCTTAATGACTGTATCCAAAAACTCACTCTCAAGATTAAGGAGGCATTGGATAATAGCTCCACCACCAGGACCAGAAAACCAAGTAACTACTTTTATCTGCCGCATTACATCAAACAAATCATTAGACAAAGGAATGCGATTCGAAAATTTGCTCAAATAACTGGAGATCCTATGAGAAGAAGAGAAGCCGTCTTTCTAATGTAATCAGGAAAAAAATTGGCAAATATAATAATGATAAATGGTGCGAATTTCTTTCAGGAATTGATACAGGTAATAAAACCTTCTGGGCTTTGAACAAGTATTTTAGGCTTAAACGTAAACCGGTAGTGCCGCCTATTTATGTAGCTACCGGCATGGCTTTCTCAGACATAGCCAAAGCTGAGGCCTTTGCAGATTCTTTGGAGCTGCAATTTCAGCCCAATACTGATAGTGACTATAATTCTCTGGTAGAAGAAAATATTGCCGAAGAGGCTGCTAATCTTAGGAACCTGATGTCAGATGAAAGCATCTCACAGTGTTCCAGAGATGAGATTAAATGTATTATTTCGAGTCTAAAGACCAGATCGGCACCCGGATATGATAATATCAGTAACAAATGCCTACGTAATCTTCCAGAAGATGCAATCCAATGCATTGTTAACATCATCAATTGCATGCTTAGGCTTGGCGAATTTCCAAAGGCCTGGAAGTTGGCCTCAGTCGTAGTGTTTCCTAAACCGGACAAGAATCCTTCATTTCCGCAGAACTGGCGTCCTATCAGTCTGCTCCCAACTATGGGGAAATTGGCAGAACGAGTAATTCTGACTAGGCTTAAAACAGCGGTAAATGCCCTAAATATACTTCCTGACGAACAATTCGGGTTTAGGGATAATCTCTCCACGGAACTACAACTAGCCAGAACTGCGCAGCTGATACAAACCGCTCTAAGTAAACGGGAGTCAACCGGGATGATTATATTTGACATAGCCAAAGCTTTTGACAAGGTCTGGCATGATGGTCTAATAGTCAAATTAGCCCGTTTTGGCATCCCTAGTGGTTTGACTAAAATCATTGGTAGCTTCCTGCAAGAAAGGTCCTTCCGTACTAAAATTAATAGCACTCTTTCGTCCGCCCGATCAATTGTAGCAGGTGTACCTCAAGGGTCGCCTTTGTCTCCCACATTGTTTAATGTATACACGGCAGACATCCCCACCTTAAGTCCCACATCAATGGCGCTTTACGCAGACGACACATGCTTGATCTACTCGGATCGGGATGCCATAAATGTAAGCAACACGTTACAGGGAAATATAGACCTTATGGTGGAATACTTCCAAAAATGGAAGATTAAAATTAATAATGACAAAACCAAGGCTATATTTATAACTCGAAAAAGAAGACAGCATCCTCCAAGAGTGAGCGTTTGCGACACGGAGATATGGTGGGAGGATAACATAAAATATCTGGGGGTCACTTTTGACAAACGGTTCAATTGGCTTAAACATTTGAAATACAAACGGAATAGCTGCTCTAAGATTCTACATTTA